ATTGTCTAAGTGAACTGAATGAATAATCGTGACATCTAGAAGAGAAATACAACACAAAACATTCAAATTCCTGGAAACCAACTACTTCATTTATGTAGTGACTCATAAAAAAATATGAAACGGTGTCACAGCTAAATAAGGTGATTCTCCAGCAACAAAAATAAAACAAATTTTATAGGTAATAAAATGAACCTTGACGTGACATTCAACAATACGAGACGTTCAACAAAAGTTCCAAACTATTTTATGAAAAAAATAAATACAAACTCATCAGTATGTTCTCATTTAGACTAACCTTGATGAAAAAAATGGGCTTTCACTTCATTATGTACACCTGTTTCAATGTACCCAGCATCCTACCGACATACTGAAGACATTTAACTCTGACCTAAATCTATTTAAATCACCGATGAGTGCACGTTGAGTGTTCATCTACCTTTCATTACAAACACGGTAGATTGGGATGAAAAACGATCGTAATTACATGCTTTCACACCTTACAAAAATTAAAAATTTGATATAACTATTTGCCCATGAGACAAAAGTCTCATTCGTAAACCAAATGTGAAGCCCGATACGAAATATACATTTTTGGAAACATTTACCGAGAATCATAACCTCAATCATTCATTGCAATTGATTGCAAGGAACTGATCTCTGCAAAAAAGCATTGTTGATAAACCGAAGTTCACTCACCCATTATAGTAGGACATCGTGGAATCCGCAACACAAACAGGAAAATATAAACAATAATCACTGATAAGATGAAAGATAGTCAGAGATAAGCGAAACTAGCAAACGTATATAAATCACCGTGAAATGATTTAGAGCAGACCGTGTTCAAACCTCGAAGGTACCGCGTTTGTTTAGGATTTGAGAAGCGGAATCTGGACCACAATGCGTCATAAACATAAACCACTAGGGAATTCGCACCTGACCATCTGCTACCTACAAGAGCTCAATAACAAAAGCCGATAGCGACGTTGCCAGACGTACGATAATTACGTTAATTTTGGACAAAATAAACTGATAATTCAGGCTACACAGTGAGAACAGTTATTCTTCTTCTCATACAACTTTGAATGAACTGGAAGATATGTCAATTTGAATTTCAAAAATTTTCATCACAAAATTTTGTAATATAGATATAATAATTTCCAGCTGAATTAGTTGAAGTATGAAATAAACTGAACATATTTATTCTATTTCATTCCAGAGTTTTTCCGTAGGTATTTAAATCTACTGAATTGTATTATTAATCCTTGTTACGCTAAGTCAATAATATTTGATGAGTAGAATTCATTTCTCAGCATTGAATTGAAGTTGGATGCCTCTTAGAAACCATGTTAATTCAGTAGTTAAACAAGAAATTCTACATTTGCTAACGATTTGCCTTTCTCAAATTAATTTTCAACTCAATGACAATTTTTGCTCTTGATGAAAAACAATACTATAATATTTCTGAATAAGAAGACCATTCGTAAACCTATTTTAGACATAAGGACGCGAAGTTCGATCATGATTCAATTTCATAAAGTTCGTTAGCACTTAATTAATCATTCTGTAAATACATTATATTTCATGTTCCGTACTCCTACTCCAAAAAATACATATTTTGTTCCAAGCTATATTTATAATAACAGATTTTACCCATTTTCAGTTATTCATTAATACCTCATCTAGTCATATCTAAAAAACTACCATTATAATAAAATAATAAAAAAAAACTAAAATCAAGCCGGTGTAGATAGAGATGGTACCCGTTGATCTGGCAACGCTGTTTGATGGATGGATGGATTTTCTGATATTCTAGCATTTCTTTGGTTCATGACTCTCTTGACAATCCAGCGACTGATGTAGGCAACTAAACATACAGATATAGTTTCTAAACCCAATTCGGTTTATCAGACAATGGTTATTGTTATATGTTATATCCCGAGTGCAGCAAGTTTAATTGGCTAAAACATCTATAAAACAATTATTTTCGGAATTTTCTCCTAATTCATCATGCACAAAAACAACTTATTAGGTTTCTAAAATGAAAACAATGTATCAAAAATATAACTGTTGTTTGTAATGAGAATCGATTTTTGTTTATTTTTCATGACATGGGTTTCAATTAGATATCCCAAAGCCATTCTGAAATTTAACACTGAAGATGTGTTCCATACATTCCATCATAAAATGGCTTGCATCACAATATATATGTGAACTCCATAGTTTTGAAGATATGACGACCAAAGATCTTAGAATTTCAAAATTCAGAGTCATGGAATATGGAAAAAAGTGTTTTGACTTTCACTTCTCCATCTTTATACAAAAAACGTTTGTGTCTCAGGACGCCCGACAGAGGTAATAACTCAAACTAATCTAAGTTGAACTATTTGATTGTTCAACTTGAGAAAAGCTTAGGTTATTACTTAAATTTTATGTATAATAATATGATGATGTAATAAAAGATTAGGTACTTATTTATGAAACATTTCATTGCTTATTATTTTGTATAGGTACATATATTATAGCTACCATAAGCAAATTGTTACTTTTGTAAGATTAAATAGTGATACTAATAATGAACATACACAACATTAGTATCATAATTTTTAAGATACGTTTCATAAAATGAAAAAATATAAGGTGCTTGCTGATAAGATTTTTATAATAATCATAAACACTGTTGAATGTTTGTGTTATTGATTTTTTTGTAATGTTCCGAGGATCACCTTCTCCTTGTTTCATCAAATTTCTCATAGTCACTTTCAAAAGCGGTGATAGTTTTACGCTATATGCTCACTGTCAACAGTACACGTCAATCGCACCCTTAATACTCAGTCATGCCAAGCGAGGAGAGATAATCATTTGTCCGAAATACGGCTAGCGCTTTGGGTTAGAGTGGGGAGCGGTTTACTCTCCCATAAGAAGTTATCACTTCAAAAATTGTCAGAAACTTCAGAAGGAAGGAACAAAGCGATTCATTAAAAAAAAACTTTTTACTAAGATGTGTAGATCATGCATAGAAGTTACTGTAAGGTACAAACTGAAAAAAAACTCTCTGGAAACAACTACATTCATATATAAACATTGTATAGAGATGGAGAAGTTATAGCCGATAATCTATTTTTTCCAAAAACTAATACCCCTTTCAATTCAATCGTGGAATATCTCTCACCCAAAACTAGTCTTCATTTCCTCGCTGACTTCCCTGCCTCATTTGGACATGAAAGTCAGAAAATCCATTAAGTCCGAAAAGCCTTGGAGCAAAAAATAAACAATGTTTCAAGTGCTGTTCTATTGCAGGTCTGAGCAAAAATGGGCTATAGATAACTATTTTAAACTTTAAACTATGGTATGTCCATATCAAACTTGAAAATATAACTTCATTACCTTAATGTTTTCAAATTACAACATATAAATTTCTGACAAGCGACAAGGTAAATATAAATAACTATTTTTTTCTACCACAACTACAACTTTTAATTAAGTCCGGTGATATGTGTGAGTTAATACAGGAATAAACTCCAAAAACATCACGAGCATATCGAATTGGTTTCAATTAACCATTTTCATCAAACCACAAAAAACGTGAGAAGTCGTTATCCGCTGAGCTTAGGCCAATCTGGAAAAAATTTGTTTGACTGTCGAAAATCAAATCTATTTTCCTCAATCAAAATAATAGTAAAATTGGGGGTATCATTTCAATGAGATTGATTTCCTCCCGAAACTCTGATTCAGTGATGGCTAGCCTTTTTTATAGCTGAAATGTCGAATACAGGTCTAATCTTCCTGGTAGGGCTATTATCCTCAATTACAAGAAGCTTTGGCAAATAATGGCAGGAATTTCTTCTATACTTCCTTCAATGTAATAATATGTACCGAAGTACTACATCATATTTCTTATAGTTACCATCTGACGTCAACTTTTGAGATTCTCGAGTCTGTTTCCTGCCAATCCTAAATTATCTGGTGGAGATGTATACTCTTCCTATTTCTTGGCACACATACTTCGTACCATCATATCTTTCATCTTTTCCAATGGTGGTTTTATTAAAATATCCCATGACAGATTCTCGAATTTCTACATAAGTTTTTTTACTGAATAGAAATAAAAATTCCAAGAATATCAGGCTACTATGAATCGGAAATAGCATAACTACTATTCCCGAAGGATGTGGTCATTGAATAGTCTCTGCAACATCGGCACCAAAAGGCTTTAAAATCTCTAATTCCCATTTCCAATGACTCTTAAGAATTCTTGTCTAACGGACGTAACATTATTACAGATTATCAAAGCCTCAAAGTTACAAGCAGATTTCATCATTGAGATTGCTCACTTGAACTATTTGCCCAACCAAACAAAGCATGCACCACTTCCACCACAGTTTCATATAATAACTCAAAAACAGCATATTCAGTTATATATGATCTTTGTGAACCTGTATTGATAGCTCTAGCCACTTGTAATTTAAGTTCATTTTTATTATTATTTGAACATTTTCAAAGATCATTTTTTAGAATCTGCTACATTCGCTACTTCAGTTCTCAAATACACACTATCAATATGTCTGCCATTGCATTTCCTAACAATATGTCCAAATACTAACATCGGTGTTGACTCAATCTTTTCTTTCTCTATGATAGAGTCTACTTCTCAGCTTAGAAAACAGTCTTCCATATCCGTATCTACCAAGGATACTTATCCTCATTTCTGAGTATAATCATAAGGAAAAATAGTTTTAATATCATACAAATTGTATAATGTAATCGATGGATTTTATTTAAAGTTTATTTTTTTCGCATCCATGAAGAGAAACCTTCGTTTATATAAAAAAAATGGTAATAATTTATTTCTTTTGTAATTGCTGGGCATGTTCCTTGGTCTGTTCACTTCATTTAATGCAGCATTGTTGCAGGGTCTATCTTAAAAAGTTGTAAAAGAGATTTTGTTTTACTTTTTTTTTGTCTTAGTTAAACAGATAATGAAGGTATGGAATCAAACAACATTTGAGGTTTTCAACTTTATTTCAATAGATGCTCTGATATAACACAGTGAACAATAATAAATTCATTATAGTTAAACATGCAACTATTTTAAAAAATAACAGGGGCACGATGAATATAAAATATACAAATATATCTAATAAGGGTAGTCCATTAGGCTTGTGATGACATTGAAGAATAAATAAAAAAACCGTTGGAAAACAAAATAAATTAAAAAGTAAAACTAAAAAGTTTTTTTATATAAATAAAAGGCCATAAAAATATTGACATTTATATATACTATCTAAAATACACATTCATTTTTGAAATTAAAAAAGGATGAACGCTGAGAAGTCCCTTCCAAATTTGAAACTCATTCAGTATCAACATAAAATTTTTCAAAAACGGTTTGAGCTCCAGAGAACATTTGAACAAAATGAAAAAAACTTATTAGCGTTTTCCTTCCAACATGAATAAAAACTTATTTCTCAATCAGATCACAATTTCAGTTCCCATATTACGATATGGGCATCATTACAATTCATATCTTTACCAGACATTGGGGGTTTGTTTTTGTCAGACGAGCAGCATGGCTGTCGATAATTGACATAACCTCTACCGCCCATCAATGTTATAACAGTCCTTCTACCATTGTCAAAGGTACTACTTTTACTCTTACTCAATGTTCTTGTATTGGTTTGTTTATTTACACTGGCAGCAGGTTTTTCAACCGGAGGGATTTCTTTCTCCGGAACGCTTTCACTGACACCATTTAACTGCCTGGAGGCATTAGAGTTGTTCCTGGAAACACTCCTACCAAAATTGTTCAGCCTCACAGCCATGCTTTCTTCCGACCCAGACGAGGTACATAAACTCGATGACCTCGAGTCGACAGACCAGTTCGACAGGTCCAAAGATCTCGGTCTAGATACTTTCATCTTCAGTCTTCGATCCAAAGTACTGACTTTGTTTGGTATGGCAGATAGTTCGGGATCGCTTCGTCTCAGAGACTCATATACAGGGTCGGTCAGAATGTTTTCATCACGTTCGTAGTCTTTGACGTACATAAGTTCACTGTATAGGCCGTAAACGTTGTTGGTATCTCCAGAGCTTTGTGATGACGTACTGGAAGTTGAGAATATTGATCCACCATTGCCTAAACCTGTAAACAAGAAAATTACGATGAATTTCTATTAAACTAAAACATTACTTCGATAAATTAAAAGTTTTTACCAATCGTGCCATTCCCATTTATGCAATAAAAAGTATCCCAATATTTTACAAAAAGAGCCGCCTTGGGGAGCCTTATGTCAGCCTTCACTTAATAAGGTAATTTAATGATTAATTTTTCAAACTTATAGAAATTAAGCTATTTCAAAGTAACCAATCAAATTTGGTACAAAATTATCATGTGGCAACTTTTAAGAATATACCAAAAAATTGAATTACGTAGGAATGACATATTCTTATTTTGTTATTGATGAGGATACAAAGTGACTAAGTTCAAGTAATAATTCATTCTAGGAATGTATCAACTACACACACAATTTAAAATCAACATAGTTTGAAAGGTAGTACTTTCTTCAGGTTGGCCAATTGTGTGACACTTTCTAATAGTAATCATTACTTATTTTCGAAAAGAGCATATTTTTCAAACCTCAATGTGTCTAAAATTTTAAACGATTCTCTGAACTCTAATGCTTTGAAGACTTCAGTTTGAACAAATATAAACAATCTTTATAAAATGATCTTGCAATCCCATCTATTTTGAAAATATGGTTAGTTTCAATAAAATATCACTACGTAATTTGCTTGGAAATAATTTATATTAGAAATGCATGTGATTGAAAAACTGAAGCACCAAACTGAAATGGTTAACAATTAGTAAATACGTTTGTTTGAAAGTGGATGACAATATTTCATGAAGAATTTTACTAGTTCGGGCGTCCATTGTCTAATATGATATAATATGATTTAAAATCTCTGAGATCATCTACAAGAAGAAACACTGGTTCAAGAGGAAGTTCAAGGAAGCTGCATATGTCTCGTCCAACGGTGCCATTCAGCCAAGCTAGCATAGAGATGCGCAACATATGCCAACCTTTAATCAAACGGAAAAATGGTCAACTTCTCCTAAACCGGTGAAAAGGATATGTAAAAGCGTTCAAAAGACCTATAAATAGTCATATCTCGGAGGAATAGTCCAGTCATCACCCGAAGACAATTGTGGATACTAACAATTGAAACATTTATTTCTTTTCCAATTGTTCAATTTTCAATTTTTTGCTCATTTTTACTTTATTGTGATTTCATTTCACGTTTAATTGCTTAATATAATTGTTATTTTTCAGTCACTCATTTTAATTTTTAATTATTTTTGTTCTTTCAGAGATTTCAAATCATATTATATCATTTTAGACAATGAAAGATCGAACTGATGAAATTCAGTAAGTAAATACGTCTATCTCCAAAGATTATAATTGGGTTAAAACCAACAGCTCTCATTAGAGAAACCACTTAGGAAATACTCAATAAAATTGTCCTAATTATTTCATGAGAGTTCCCCAATAAAGTCCTCTGCTCTGCAGAAAACTGATATTCAAAATGTCAATGAACTGACATGATTAAACAGAGGAGAAAATAAACTACAATTGAGATTAATAGATGAAAAACAACTTACTGTCTCGTACTAATGAATCTACCATAAATGTACAAAAAATATCAAATTCATAGTTATATTTTCCTAATTTGTTGATGAAATGTGACAAAATATCTGCACTTGGCTGATATGAATTATGTTTTATTCTTTGCAAAATGGAGTAACTACGTTACAAATATCTTTATAATCCTTTATAATCTGGTTATTACTAAAAAAAGTAGTCTCAACTCCTACAGAAATATTCATTTAAAAAAAACGAAATTTCAAAGTAGTTGACAAATTAAATTCGACTTTCTAGTGATTGCAGTAGTTGTCACACGACCATGATAATAAAATGTGAGCAATATCAATTATTAACCTCATTTAAAATTTCTAGCTTGTTACTAATTTCAAAATCATTCTCCTAATCTCCTCCTCTACACTCTCCGGATCTAATCTGAAAATATGTATGCACCAGATTTTATAGTCCTTTTAGGAGAATCAGCGAGTATTTTGTTTTAAGATACGGATTTTTGTGTGACACAAGTGACTACAACTAATTCATGATCCTCAATAAATATTGAAACGAATTATTGAAACAAAAAACACTAAAAGATTCCCAGTATCCACATGAGTAACTTCATGATACCAAAACAATTACGAAATATGTGTGAGAAACCTCAACCATTATTCTATCACACAATTTGCTTACCTCTTGGTAAAGTTTTCGACATACGTGCCAACTCATTCTCTTTAGACCTTCTCTTCCTCAGCACCACCGGGCTGCTTGTCAAATACTTGAGTTTAGCAGACAAACTCTGCATAGAACTGTCAGACAACTGTTTCTCCATCTTAGGCCTTGAATTCTCTTCCGACTTCTCGGTGAAGCTTGTATCCATACTTTCGTTATCCTGCTTGTTTTCTTCCTTGCTCTCTCTCGAGCTAGTTTTCTGTGAATTATTATTGTAACTCTTTGGCTGTAAAGCTAACAGGAAAGAAATCGGACCAAAGTGGGCGTGGTAGGAGATGTTGACGCGACCACTGATGATGGGGACTCCTTCTAGTCTTGGTAGGGGTATGGTCAAAGCTCTACCCACATTGGTTCCTACCCAAAGAAGACCTTTGCATGCCAGCAGGGCTGTCACGTGTACTAGGGATCGGTTATTGTTCATCGAATCACGAGGACCTGAATAAAGCAACAATTAGGAAACAGTCTAATAAAATTTTTGAATTATATCTACCAGCAAAAGCAGCAACTTTCATGAAAGGAGTGGGATACATGCAAGGTTTTCTGCTAGAATGCCCATCGAACCCTTCACAGAAGCATCTCTAGCAAGGAACGCACAGGAAAACTCAGGACAGGATACTACACACATTACACCTTCCTCATAACCAATAAGTTTTATTCGAAGTCAGTTATGATTCTGCCTCTTCCTCAAATTTGTTGAGGTTGAGTATTGTATTTTTGATGATTGGGAAAAATTTATAATTGATTAAGAAGTATCTACGGTATCAAATATTATTATCCGAGTGTTTGAAAACACCGATTTTGAAAGAAACAAATGAGGAATTGAAGTAATACTAATCAAAACTTCTGATTAGTTTTCTTAGTGGATTTCGATTACAAATATGTCATAAGATCTATGAGCTCTACTAATTAGCCGAATTCTTTCTTAGATTGTGATTCAAGTTTGAATAGTCATAAATTCAACAAAACTTCTCCTTTCATACATCAGAAATGTAACACGCATCTTGAAGCGCATTCCATTAACCAAATTGGTATTATGAAACGATGGTTTAGATCAGTGGTTCCCAAACTGGGGTACTCGTACCCCATGGGGGTAGACGAACATTTTTTGGGGGTTATGCGGCTGGCCAACAAACCATTAAATTTCAATAGAGGAAAAAACTCTGAAATCCAAGGTATACGCAAGGTGGACGTGTTCCTTAACAAAGTAAAACTTTGATAAACCTCCAGCATATGTTTTATTACATCCCTTTCGTTATTGCTCAAATTTTTGTTTTCCATTTTAATGATGACTAAATTAAAATAAAATAAATTGACAAAATGAAATGAATACGAATATTATGATATGAGCGAGATATGGGAGCGCAGAGTTCAAGTCTCAATAGTGTAAAAAGTGAAGGAAAGAGCAGGTGCGCATTGAGAAGTAAGGGCGAAAACGTGGATGGATGGAACGTCAAAAGGAAATTCCTTCCTACCTAGTAAACACAGCCAAAGCAGTGTTTTTGCAGTAGTCGTGGTTATACTTAATCGTGTTTAAACAATAACGACTATTGAAGATCCCACGTTGAAAAAGAAATATTCTGGTACTACATTATTAGATTTTTGGATCTGTGTTGGGAGGGAGCACAAAGAACTGTCTCACACTGCTATTAAATTTCTTGTTGGGTTTTGCACCACGTATTTATGTGAGAAAGGGTTCTCAAGTTTAACTTATCTTATAAATAAATACAGAAATAAATTAAATGTTGAAGATGACTTATGATTGTATTTAACCAAGCTAGAACCCAATATTGAACATCTGTTCAAACAGAAACAGGAGCACCCTTCTCACTAATTTTTGTTTGGGAATTAAGCGCTTTTTGATATTTTTATTTTGTCTTGTTTGTTTTAATTCAATCAAAATTAAATTATGTATAAATCTCTATATAAATGCGTATAAATATAATTATATAAATATGTATAAAATGTATAAATATAAATTACGTAAGCAATATATCTTTGTTTTCATTTAAACATTTCTAATTGAGTTACACAGGTTAAATCTATACTAAATAGAAAACCTTGAAGCTTTTAATATGGTTTTATTTTTTACTACTGAGAAGGGGTACTCAAAATTTTTTGGTGCTAAAAAGGGGTACAGTGTCTAAAAAAGTTTGGGGACCCCTGGTTTAGATTATCAACATCGTAAACGAATGATAGCAACTTGACCGTTGACTAGTATTATACTCATGGTGTGGTGAATATATAATTTTGTTGAATTCATTCTGCACCAGAAGTTGTAATTCAGCCCCCATCACAAGTGATTGTACTTCATGGTCAATCACAGTATCTGAGTGTTGAAGAACGAAAACACAGTATACAAGTTTTAACATATTTCAAGACAAAATAATGATAAAATCAAAGTCTGGCATCAAAGAACACCACTGGGCAGCTGGATAATTATGGAGAATTATGAATATTGAATCACATATTAGAATCATACTATTCAAGTACACTGTCGCAGCTCTCGTGCATATATATTGCAAGTATTCTTTCAAAGCAGAAGAAATGTAATAGATCTGACTGATACTTGATGCCATTATGCCAAAGAAGGCATCAAGTGCAAAAATACTGAAATTTCCCTTGATCGAAATAGCCGCTAACTCAGATATATCCATAACAGTGAGGATCATTTTAGACACCTGTTACTCCTGTAAACTCTTTATACATAAAATATGTGGTGAATAAGAGATTCACATCAAGCAAACTGTAAATTCATCTGTTGTTAATAAAATATTGTAAATTAAAATATTCGAAGACAAAAATTTAAAGTAGTGATATAACTCGCCAATGTCAAACCATAGGGAGCTCCAAGTTGGAGCCCTATGGTACCTCCTATGGAACAATCATAAGGTAAATTCTACTACTTTATTCTAGATTACAAGAAAGTTTACCAGCAATAATTTTCACAACAGAAGACCATGAACTGCTTCGAAACCTTTCCTGGAATTAGGAATTCTATACTCACTGACAAATGATTACTCAGTAATTACTTTCATAATTCAATTAAGGACACTATTTTCTGTTAGGCCTACGACACAAGGAGTGGTATTAAAATTTAGTATTTCATTATAGTTATATTTCTACCTTCAATGGTGTGTAGTGTGGTATTAGGGATTTATAGAGGTGAGAATTTACAAAACTGGAAATATCTTCAGTATAGGAAAATAATTAACTCATGAAGTTGAAACTCATCTGCCATATTCAAACCTATATTTGATTTAGCAAATTAGGAAATACAATATTTCCCTGTTATAATATAAAAGTTCTTCTAGAAACATTGTTATTACTCATAATTAGAAATCATAAAATATATTAAAAATTTCAATTTATCATTCAATCCTATTTATTATTAGCTCTTGAACATTTTCCAGCTTTCATAAATTCCTCACACTTCTATAAAAAAAATCTGTTTGGCACTGAAAGCTATTACATTTGTCGACCCAAATGAAAACAAAATTTATACCTGATGATCCATTGATCCTCATAACAATAGAAGCGATGTTGATGTCCTGGAGATGCTTGAATGTTTCAGTGTGATACAAACAAATCGTGCTGGAATTCTTCTGAGAAATCCACAACCCGATACCACTGTGCGCCATCATATTCACGTTTCCGAAATGTTCGTGTTGAATAACGAAATGTTTCTGAATATCTCCGGTAACTCCGTTGAGCACCCAAACTTTCTTTCCGCAAGCTGCATACAGGCAAAGGTTTATAGGCAGTAGACAAGAAACGGGGTCAGTTCCTAAAGTAAATACTTGGGGCTCCTGGATGAGCCAAGCACCGTCAATGGGGTTTTTTCTATATACACAGAGCGTTCCGTTAGCCAAAGCAACGAAAACGTTATCACAGTGGTATTTAATATGCATTATAACGTCGGAGACTGTCGTGTTGGCAATTTCTTCCTGCTTTTCAGGTTCTTCCGCAGCGTATAAGTGCAATTTGTGCCTGTCCGTCCCTATCCAGACAGTATCTGAAGCTAAGTTGGGGCCAGGTGGTGGTGAACCTAGAAAAAGCAAATTATTGTAGTAATTACCGGTATCTATAATTACATTGAAAGTTCAAATTGTATTTGTGCAACGACTATTCACCTTTTACAAATTCCATTGCAGTAATTTGGGTTTCCACCAAAGAAAATGAGGTAAGATCCTTCAGTACTCCAGCTTGTTGATGGTGCTGGGCAAGAACAGATATATGACTGCTGGCTCCATCTGTTGTACAGACCCAAAGGTAGTTTTGAACCCTATGCCGTCTTCTTGCTGTTTTGGGTAAAGTTACGGTATAATAACATCCACAGCGCACCTAAACATAACAAATGGTAGATTCACAATATGACTTGAACTGAAAATACAAGAGTGTAATTTCTGACCTGAACAATCACTTACCTCAGTTTGATGCTGTGACATGTAAACTGATTGTGACTTCACAAATAATGGCATTTTGGTAGAGGGCCTTTGTTCTTGCTCAGGTACTTCCCAGGCCGGCGAATTGTTCGGATCTAGAGCCAATTGAGCAAGTCTCAGTTCTGTGATCCACTCTTTTTTTATTGATGGATTATCAGTCTGGAAGGTGAAAGTTTCTTCCTTGCCCTTGGTTTTCACAACAAGCTGTAAACAACATGAATCCACCCATGCCATTTCTTCGTCTTTCTGTTGAATGGAGGTTTGGATCTGGTGCAGAATTTTCTTGGTATTCTCGTGGTTGATTTCTTTGTAGTTGCCTTTCAATTGACCTGAAATGAATTATTTTGTTCAGATTATACATAACCATATTGATACTAGTGATGATAGGCTAGTAAGTGAATGCCTGCGACGAAACTAGGAATGAAGTACCACAGGTGTCAAAGTTAATTCTTTTATGGGTGATTCATAAAGCGATTGAATATTGACTGTGAATTTATCACAGATATCATTAAATATAGTCAAAATAATACGCATATACAAGTGCTTAATTGTTATACTTTTACCTATATTCCTTGGGAAAAGATATTAAAACCTTGTTTTTTCAAACCGTGAAATCTAAAAAAAATGTGATAATTATTATATTAAAACTTACTACAAAAGAGGGATTTTCAAATAAAATTCATCTATATAAAATATTGAAATATGGTGTCAGATGTGGCATTATGTTGACTTACATTTCAGGTCTATTCATGTCAAGGACCCAACCTCACTTTTTAGAAAACTGTAGAACCAGAAATTTTGTGATAATTATATTATCAGGCCTAGCTATAGAAAATATCTTTTGAAATAAAATCCATCTCTATCGAAGACTAGCTGTGTCCGCGCGGTTTCACCAGTGTATAATTGAAAAACACTGGGAGAAGATTTTCAGTGTATTTAATATTTCTGGTACCATTATCGTTGGGTTATTTATTAGCATGTATTGGTTTTCGCCATACCCGGATTTAGGTAAAGTAACATATAAAATTGGCCGTGAAAACAGCATGAAAGATTGTCATAGTTCGGCTCTGCTCGGCCATGTTCGGTTCTCAATAAGCGGTCAAGATTACCGCGTCTCGCATCGCCCTTTCGTAAATAGTAATGGTGTATTTTTTTTATATATATACAATTTTATATCTTATTATTATTATTATTGCAATTTTACATTTTCTCTTGAGTTGTGCGTCCAAGTAACATGCTATGAATATATGCCTGCTTAATAATGTTCGAAATTCACCCTTACATTTTCAATACATTTTTGACACGCAATGCCTTATTGTGACTTATAATAGATATATAGTGTGGACTTTTTGAAAGAAATATTCAAAACCAATGAATTTGTAGCACATGATACTTACATAAAAATAATCCTTATGCCAGCGTACATGAATAAAACACTTCGATGTCGTTTTTTTTTTCTGACTTACTTTACAAATAATAATATTCGAGGCTTTTTTAGGAATTGTAGTGTAATGCTAGATAACCTATATATTGCCTTCCTTATGAATGTGGCTATCATACACATAAAGAGTTTTTTAAATACGACTGCCAGTTCCAGAGATAAGCTTGTTCAAACAAACAACATTCTTCAGCTTTATTATATTAGTACTATCGACCTGCCCCGGAACTGAACTACAGAATGTTTTTATATACAACGTCAGTAGACAGTGATGAAAAAATAATTTTGTTTTATGGACGCGCCTTTTCCCCCAGCGGCTGTGCCCCAGTTGGAATATTTAAAAATCCTTCCTCATTGCACATCTACAATATAAAACGAATCTACATACAAAATTTCATCCTCCAAAAATATATCGAAATGGAAAAACAGTAATGAAAAGGTAATTTGTCATATGCAAACGCCCCCCTTTTATCCCCATGAAACCCCCAGTTGGGATATCAAAAAATTCTTTCTTATTGCAGATCTGCAACATAAAACGAACCTACATACAAAACTTTAGCCTTCGAAAATATAGCGGTATAGTCGAAGTAAACGATATTGTGAACACAAAGTTGGTAACACTCTTAAAGGGCAAAAAACCAATACATAGAAATGAATTGGCGGCGAACTAGTCTACGTGGACTGTATAATTGGCGGTTTGTATTGGATAATTTTTACTAACCAAGTTTTATGATTGGCTGAAGAGTCATAAAATTAAATGGGAAGTCATGTTACGGTGACGAATAGAAATCGGGGAAGGTTATTGCCGTCGCGTTCAGTCCGGATAAAAATTGGAGGAAAGATGAAATACAAAGTTAAGGACTCATCCATACGGAAAACATAGATGAATGAGCGAGTGGTAGGTGAGTGACTTTTGCATTTATAAGTATAATATAGAAGATGGATTGGGCTGAATTTTTGAAGATTCAGTATATGTTTGGAATGTGGCATTACCTATTCATAAAGGAAAATATTTTCTCTCACCTGTCAGATCGTTTATCCTGCTCATAACTTCATAGTCGTGCATAAGGTTACTCATTTCCACACATAAATTGTTGGCATCTTGGGGAGGAGTTCCTTCGAAGGAACCGTTGGACTTGATACTGCCGCCTTTATTTTGACTCGATGTCAAGATCCGGCTCAGAGTGGGGGAAGTGCTGGTATCTTGTATTTCGATTTCAGATACAGGATGGGTCCATTTCAAGCTCAATCTCTCACCAGTTCCGAAATCGTCAGAAGATTTTGATGCAACCGAAACGCAAACCACTAGATCATTCAAAAGCAGTAAACGTCTACTCTTTGCCTTGGTTATTAGTCCATTCTGACTGTATTCCTGCAAATATGATAAAATCTTTCATTTCATCTGGGCTGAGGTTCAGTTCAGTGGAAGGTTCATATGGAAAGCATGCTTTTCGTCGGGGCATGTTCTTAATAAAAGTGTTTCGTTTCTAATTTAAAACAAATGACGATATTTTGAAAATAGAATATGAGTAGTTAGAAATTTTGTCGCAACATGGCATTTTGCCATATTATTTTCACCCATGTTTACCAGTATTTCTAGATTAGGAACAAGTTCAATGCTCATTCCGGATAATTTCAAACACACTCAATATAAGATTGGACTTCTGCTAATAAGTATATATCAAAAAAATTATTTGTCTCACTCACCAATTGCGTAACATTGTCCTCCCTGAGCAAATATCTGTTACTATCTGACAAAGGCCTTACGGAAAACTTTCCGCTGATATTCCTCAACATTTCTTTGAATGCCTGGTACTGCTCCGCTTCTCTCTTTCTTTCATTCAGCATCTCTGCCAGGGATTCCAATTGCGTCAGAGCAAGCTGAAGAGACATTCTATCGTGGTGGCCGTGTGGAGTGTACTTCAAGAGGTCCTGGAATATATTTTAATGAGCACTCGACAGAAATGATGCGATTCGGAGTTTAAAGTTCACGATTCGGTTTTCCACGGAGGAAAATTCGGCAGCGCTTTGAACCAATCAATAATCCAGTTTTGTAGTATACATTCAGAGTTTCGTAAATTTTCTTTGTTGTTCTACATCAAATCAAATATGAATTTTGAAGGCAAATCATTTCAAATACAAACGAATGAATGACTGAAGACAGATGAACTCTTGACAATAAATAATTGTTATCATCTTATTAGGTTTTATAAGATGGAAGAATTTTTTTTATTTGTTACAATGTATTATGATTTGATGTTATGAATACTGACTCATTCTAGTTAGTATCATCAGAAGATGAGTTATAGTATTCATAACATCAATCATAACACATTGTAACAAATAATAGTTATTTATGTATCAAGGGAATTAGGAGGAATAAATATTGTATAAATACCTGCAAGAACAGAATAAACTGTGGGAACCTCTGAACAGGTTTTACCATTAGTCCAAAAAATGATAACCGATCATGCGAGCTGATCTGCTTCACCTGAAAATGAAAACATTACACAACTAGTCTCTAGATCGCCAACTGAATTTCTTCACCTTCAAAAAATCTGCGAGGGCAGATTTTCGTTTTGCTTCCATCTTTGCTAAATCCATAGCAAGGGAAAAATTATTGATAAAACCGCTATAAATATCCAAAACAATGGCTTTGGAGAAAGAGGCTACGAACACATCTCCTATTCGCTCATCTCGATCCCAATTTCTTACACATTCTGCTAAAGCTATTCGAAAAAGTGTATGGCACTGAAGTATTTCTGGAAGTCTATGGAATAGGGTTTGGATTTTTGAACTACTAAGGACTGGAGGATTGCTTTCTTCTAAAGGTTTTTTGTAATCCTGAAACAGACTCGAGTTAGCATGATGCCACTAAAGGTTAACGTATGCATCACTTACATTTACTAGCCTTTGGAGGGTAGCTATATAAGAATTTTCACTATGTACAATTGCTGCTACTATCATCCTCCTCTTCAACTGTAAGGGAGTCAAGTCTGGAGGAGGTTGGGGTAAACTAGGGGGTAATTGCCGCCTTTGCGAAGAGGTGCAACTTGGAAAGTGAAATCCAGTTTCTTCTTCCACCTATTACAAAATAACGAGCCGTTAAAACTTCCAGACTTAAATCTTATCGACTTGTTCTTACCTCAGGCAATTGTGGCATTTTATTTGGATTCTGCGGAGATCTTTGGCTGTCTGCATTTTCGATATCGTACTGATGGTTGCTTCCTCTTCTGATAGAAAACCACCTGGACAGTCTACCGTGGTTTTGCGGGGACGTGTCCCCTGGCAGAGAACTGTCGAGTGACAGTCTGTTATTGGAGCCTATACCACCGCTTCCCCTCCACTTGTCGCAGAGAGTCCGGGCTTTGTTCAGCGTATTTCGTAATTGACCATTGCTCCTGAAAATGGAATAATGATAAATATTAAAATTTATTGCTCAATATACAACAAACAATTTAAACAGAACTGTTCCGGAAGCCCATGAACAAAATTATTATTCTCTTCATAAAATTAATCAGGTCAATACAGGTCTTACACGGGTAGCAGAGCGTATATGTCGAGATTTTTTTTCTGTCGCATTTGATAAAATTTACTGAAACAAAGGTATGTTCACAACTATCAATGTTAGTTTTGAAATAATAGTCATGAAAAAATACGACATCAAGCTTTAAAATGATTTTCTACGTAAAACAAAACTAATGCAATTGCAACCTTTTATCATCACGCGTGTTGCATCGATATTTTTTTTGTCGCTTGATAGTAATTTAGGGTTCAATCCTAATTATAGTTGACTATGAAATCTATTCCTGAACTGAAACAATTCAAATTAGCATTGACAATTTTTTTATTGAATCTACTTTTTTGTTCTGTAGATGAATATTTTTTGCACTGATTTCAGACTTTAGAGATATATTTGTGATTTGAATGTTGTAGATTCAAATTTAGGCTAGGTATTATTTTACTTTTAGGACACTGATTAATTGTATACAAATATTTTGTCATAAAGGAAATAAAGTGCTACTTAAGAGCAATTATAATGTGCGTGAAACGTTTGCATTAGGTGACGTATAACTTTCCATTTTACGTAAATAAAGTATTCAATTTGATAAAGATTAATATACTTCTGTCTGAATAGCTTTTCAATCAACACATTGTAACGAATTTGAAGCCGCCTCTGACCGATACGCCAGTCAACTGCATCGAAAAAAAAACAACTGACCTCAGCTCAAAAGAATGCATCAGGAACCGCCGGTAAAATTCTAGTACCGAACCGACTACAGAATTCTAGAAAGGACCTTTACCGATACAAGCCCTTCTTCCCGACCCAAGAGGGCAGTTCAGGAATTGAATTGAGTGGCTAAACAAGAAATTCAAATAGTGGAAATAAATTAAGCGTTAGTTGCTAAGTGTTGTAATAAATAAATTGGTTTGTGATTATTGAAATATTGCTGGAAATGAATGTGTTTAAGACAGTTAATTCATTAATTTGTCACATTTGTTAGAAAATTTATGGAAAAATATGTGATACCCACCAAATGATTGTAGCGAAATGTATTAACGGATTTAGGAAGTAAATGATTGGTTCATCTTGATGAAGATAATTATTTCAATATCTTGCGTAGATTTCACTTTGATGGAAATCAAAATGTGATGAATCTCCAGAAAAAATGAGTTTTTCTTTTCTTGGAACTAGATAATTTAAGATATATTCAAAATGAAACATACCTATTGTGTTTCACTATGTTTATGCAATAGGTTGGTAATTATAAAGGATTCAACAAGATCTAACCAATAAGTAATACCGAAAATGTATTAGGAAAAAGTTGTGATGTGTATTCGCTGGTTATTCTCACTTCCAAGGATCTTCGATGATTCATGTTTAAAACCCGAAAAAGAAAGACACTGAAAACCTCGACCGCGAAAGTCCTTACAATTTTATATTCAGTCGAATATGAGATGCATTCAGCAAGGAACCTATAGAAACTAGTACAGGGAACAAGGATGTGGGAGTGAGAATCATGAAAAAGATGGCGGAAAAACGCAATAAGGTTGCAGTGTTTTTCGAAGAAGTCAAGGTTTCCTATTAGTATAAAAAGAAAATAAGTTACATCAAGAACATATAACGAAATATTTATGTTTAGCATGATATTTCATATGAATATTTACGAATTGAAGTATGTGACGTATGGCAAAGGAAATTGTAGCAAATATATTCAAACTGATAAATATTAAATATTAAAATGATTCAAACCACAAAACTCCATTAACGAGCTTGCTCAGCATCCATTATAAACCAAACCACCCGTACTTTGAAGCCATCAGAAATGAATAATTAAATTGTTTTATACTGGAGGAAGTAATTGGCAATTCTGTAATAAAGTTACTACTACAAAACAGGAAGCACTCGTAAAAACCCACTCAGCTGATGTAAGATGATGAAAAAGTGTGGAACAAAATTTAGTATGATTAAAATGAACAATTTGAAACGTTGTAAACAATTGAACAAATATATGCTGTAACACAAACTAAAAATTAATCTTTACTTTACTCTCGACTGTACTCTTTCACAATATTCCACGAGACAACAATATAAAAATAATAGGGTTTGTATGATTAGAAGCATTTAATGAGATTTTAATGTTTTCTGGCAGATTTTAGTAATTAACTTGCTAGAACAATAAAAATTAAAAAACTATTATTGCCTTATCGAGTAATTTACACTTATTTACTCAAATTGTTTAAGTTTTTAGGACCACCAAGCGAGTGAGCAAACTGATAATATTTTACCGCCTCCAAAATAATAGTCTTTCTGTAATTAGTGCAGTAAATATATCATCGAAACAGGCAATTCATATCAGGTCCTTTTTTTTCAATTTTCTTCAATGAAACACGTCACCATGAACTTAAACTCCAGTTTCGGGATAGGAGGTGGTGTTTCTCAGCCGCCATCTTGACATTCTTGAATGAGGCTGTGATTATTTTTGATTCATCTCGTGAATTCTAAGGACTAGAAAACTTTTGTGAAAAACTTTTTTAGATAGTGATATCTATTAACTTTTCCTTTGAAGCGTAATACTTTTCTATCGATAAAAAAAACAATCAGAGCTTTTTCATAAATCTTTTTTCATCTAAAAATAGACCTAACAATGTTTAGAGTTGCCTTTATTTCTTGAGCAAATGAATGCCTCTTATAAGTATGTTAGTAGGATAAGTATCATATACAAGGAATTTAGTACAATTAGGTAAATATAAAGTATTTCAGTAGAGTACTGTGAAAAGCAAAATAAAGAAAAACATTCAAAACGTTTTCCTTCTAAGAAAAAAGAAAATAGTTATTGAAATGGGTTTTAACAGTTTTTTCATCCACAAATAAAAAAACCTTTGCTCCATGTGGTACTTAAAACGTAGTTCTTTCTCGAATACGAGAATAAAACAATGTGGAATAATTTTTGCAACATGGTAATTTGCAACATGGAATTTAGCGTCGAATATCTGCCTCACCCACCATACTTTCCAGACCTCTCACCAACCCACTATCATCTTTTCAATCACTCCGATAACTTTCTCACCGGTAGAGCCTTCGCCAATCAGAACCAGCCAAAAACGGCCTTTGTCGACTCCATCGAATCTCAGCACCCAATTTTTATGCTGCCAGAATCAATCGACTCGTGTTACGTTGCCAAAAGTACACTGATTTAAATGGCGCTCAATTCTATTGAATTGAATAAGTCTTTACTCAGATATTACAGTTTGAACTGGACACAAAAAAAATCGGACAAAAGTTTCGAAACAACCTAACATATGAAAATATACCATATCTATTCGATACTAGTATCACGATGAAATTGATCTTTACTCCAACCTGCTGTTTGCTTAAAATTGTTATATAACGAACACATTTAGCTAACAAATTAAACGCTATTTAAGGTTTATATATTAACTTAAAATAGGTGAAAACTGTCGCCGAGTAAGAAAGAATTAGTTTTAAGACCTAGCATAATATTTTTGAGTCTTTTTTTTTAACCGTAGTACGTGCTGATCAGGCCCTATCCCCCGAAGCCCCTATACATTTGAGAGGGCGCGCCAGCATTATCAACCAACGACCACTCTCCACACCGTGGAGTAAGTGATCATTGGGTCCGAGAATCATGTGTCCTGAGCAAGCGCAGTGAGCCAAGAATGACAGCCTTCTGCATCTGTCCGGCAAGATTTCTGCCTTAGTGCGGCAAGCCGGTATGTTTTTAAGAGGTAGAGAGTAGAGAGGGCTTCATTCCACCAAGCACTCCAATAAATCAGAACATCCATCTTGGCACAGTGGTCTGGATAGAGTCTGCGGAGTTCGAAGAGAAAATCTCGATATTTTATCCGTTTTTCCTCCTCTTTTCAGACGATATTCGTCTCGCCAGGAGCTGAAAACTCCACGTCGAGAAGGACTACATCAGGTTTATGAGCTTGTATGAGCCTGAGGGTGGGAAACGAATAGTTCCAATAAATTCGGCACTTTTCGTTCGCCACAACGGATTCAATATCCCCCGGAGCGTAGGGTATCCGGGTCCCCCGGAGACCCTACGATTATACTCTACGACAACGTCCTCACGTTTCACACAAATCAACTTTCGAAAATCGAAGGAATTTAGCGTCGAAGATCTGCCTCACCTACCATACTTTTCAGACCTCCCACCAACCCACTATCATCTTTTCAATCACTCCGATAACTTTCTCACCGGTAGAGCCTTCGCCAATCAGAATCAGCCAAAAACGGCCTTCGTCGACTCCATCGAATCTCAGCACCCAATTTTTATGCTGCCAGAATCAATCGACTAGTGTTACGTTGGCAAAAGTGCACTGATTTAAATGGCGCTCAATTCTATTGAATTGAATAAGTATTCACTCAGATATTACAGTTTGAACTGGCCACAAAAAAATCGGACAAAAGTTTTGAAACAACCTAATATATATGAAAATATACCATATCTATTCGATACTAGTATCACGATGAAATTGATCTTTACTCCACCTGCTGTTTGCTTAGAATTGTTATATAACGAACACATTTAGCTAACAAATTAAACGCTATTTAAGGTTTATATATTAACTTAAAATAGGTGAAAACTGTCGCCGAGTATTCACTTTTGAATCCCAACCAGACATAAAACAGAAAAAAAAATAAAGTCATTTGTTTACAAATTCACATGACCGTGCGTTGAACACTTAATAAATCACTTCGACTATAAATCTATTTCTTGAAAAAAAAACGTTCACTTTCATGTCGCACTATTCTTCACAACTCTGTTAATAAAATGTTGTATCCACAAAAAAATATCCGAAACAACTGTTCCAGAAGAATCGAGCTTCCATAATAACCAAACAAAATATCCCTTCTGTGAATAAGTTCAAA